AAGGGACATCAAGGAAGCCAGTGTGACTAGATCGGGAAGTATTGGGGAGAGGGAGGAGAAAGAACCTCAGGAAGACTAGAAAGGTAAGAATGGTGGTGATGAAGGACCTTCCATGTCAAACAGAGGATTTTATATTTGATGCTAGAAGCAATAGGAAACCACTGAAGTTTATTGAATGGAGACAGGGTGCCAAGGTCATCAGACCTGCTCTTTAGGAAGGTTATTTTGACATCCTCTTAGTAATGGTCTTTCCACTACTTAGATTTTCCCTACTGCCAAATAAGTCTTTCTAATTCAACAGTTTAATGTTCAAAAACATCCCATCGTGGCTCTTTCTTGCTGTCAGTTCACATTCCGTAGGCTAACCCTCATGGCCATCAGGAATCTGGACCACTTCTTTTCCCACTTTAGCAGTATTACCCAACATGCTCTGTATGATCTTACCATCACTTTGACTGGACTCCCATCCACCATATACACACATTGTGATCCCCCTTGCCTTTGATCAGACTGTTGCCAGGATGACTTCTTTCACCTCTGAACATGCCTCTCCCCAAAACCGTGACTGTTGAGTCCCCACTCAACACCTCTTTCATGTTGTCTTCTCTGATGCCCCACAGAGTCATCAACTTCTCCATTCCAATTCTGAAAGGGACCTTAAGATGTTATGTAGTGAAACATCTTGTTTTACAGATGGAGAAACTAAGATGGTCCACTGGAAAAAGCACTGAATTTGGAGGCAGTGGACCATAATTCAGATCTTCCACCAACTGTTGTCTGACCTTGGCCAAGTTACTTAACTGCTGCGATCCGCAGTCTCCTCTTCTGTAAAATGAAGAGGTTGGATCAGATGTCCTTTAAGGCTTAATCCAGCTCTGTATCTGTATCTATGATCCTAAGGCCCAGAGAGGGTCATTGACTGATAACACAGTCACATAACACAGATCACAAATGCTAGAGCTAGAACCCAAATTCAAGTCCTTCCATCCCAAATACTGTATTCTTTCTCTTGGTCCACATTGTCCCCTTGCCTTCCTTGGATTTGCCTTTGCTGGACTTTGCATTTCAAGCTAGGAAGGCTCTAGAATAGCCCTCTCATTTTACAGATGAAAACAAGGGAAATGACACTCAGATATCCAAAAAGCAATGCTAGGAATCACTGATTTAGAGTAAGAGAAATAAGAAAAATAGAAAAATTTTATGGAATTAGGAATGAGTTGTCCTTAAACATTAAATGGAAAGTTACCTTTTGTAGACGGAGAGCAATCCTTACAGTCATCTGGGCATGGAGTTCTTCCAAAGTAAAAAGTGTCCTGGGAGTTTGGATAAAAGCCTTGGTCTTTCCAGAAACTCCATCATCCTGACAAGCATAGCCCTCCGTTAGTTGTTTTCGCAGCAAGCTTGTCTAAAGGAGGTCATGGTTGGGCCAGGTAAATTCAGAGGTCATTTTAAATTTGAGCAAGCAGCATCCTGCTTGATCCTGCAAAATACTTTCTCTCTCTCTCCTCTCTCTCTCTCTCTCTCTCTCTCTCTCTCTCTCTCTCTCTCTCTCTCTCTCTCTCTCTCGTTTTTAAGATTTTTAAGCCTGCTATACCAAATTAGCCTCAATTTCTTTTCAGGTATTGTTGTTAACTTGTTTTTCAGTTATATCCAACTCTTCATGACCCCATTTGGGGTTTTCTTGGCAAAGATGTGAAGATACTGGAGTAGTTTGCCATTTCCTTCTCAAGCTCATTTTACAGAGGAGGAAACTGAGGCAAACAGGGTTAAGTGATTTGCCCAGGGTCACACAGCCAGTAAGTGTTTAACGCCAGGTTTGAACTCACAAAGATGAGTCTTCTTCACTCCAAGACTCTGTCCACTGAGCCACCTAGACGCCATCCTGGGCTTATAGCTTGATTTAAATTAGGCCTAATAGGCCAAAAGTAAACCAAAAGTGATATGTAGTACTAGGGGAAAAAAAAACCTTTTGTTTTTAGAGAGCCAGTTTTACTAACTCTTGCTCATAGTATCCTTGCTCCCTCTCTGTGGAAACTGCCCCTCCTTAACCCATATTTGGACTCTTCCATAGTGGACACTTCCACTTTCCTACCTGTCTGTGACATCAGATGCAGGAAACCAACCAGACAACCTGTAAAGTCTCTTGCCCCTCCCTGTAAAGCCTCTGACCCACTTCTGCATCAGTGAGCAGTTCTGTATGGGACAAGTCTGTGGTACAGGCAGCAAACTGAGAGGAAGGGTGAGGGCCTGGTATAGGTTCGGGACTGGGTCCTGATCCCTCAGGATCCTTCTTGTGTCCTCAGTCACCAGCACCCTCCTTTTGCTGCAGCCTTTCATCCACTGCCCAGGCTTCTCCGCTGACTACATTATATATATTGTAGACAGCCCCTCCTGGGATCTAGGATAGTAGTGCCCCACCTTCCCTTACTCCTCCCTCTACTCCTGGTGTTTCAAGTTAAGTGCCTTCCTTTGTATGAGACAAAATGTCTCCCATAATAAAGGCCTATTGCTTTTTCATGCTATTGGCCCTGTTTCTTCTGTGGAAATCTCCAAATCGTTGTTGTTGTTGTTGTTTTTAAAGTGGCTGCTGTACAGACAATGCTCTACATTATTAGTACCTTTCTTCAGGCTACTGAAACAAAAATGTACCATTGTCATGACTTTACAAATCATGGGAAGATAATATTGCTAATCTGGGAGGTCTGGGAAAGAGAGACGAAGGTAGGCAGCAATTTCTTGTTGGTCAGTAGTTTTTAGTTGTGCCTGACTCTTCTTCATGACCCCATTTGGGGTTTTCTTGGCAAAGATACTGGAGCAGTTTGTCACTTCCTTTTCCAGCTCATTTTACAGATGAGGAAACTGAGGCAAACAGACTTAAAAGTGACTTGCCTAGGATCACACAGATAGGATTTGAACTCAAGTCTTCCTGACTGTAGGCTTGGCACTCAATCCACTGTACCACCTCACAGGCATCGATGACTACGTTATTAATGAGGTGGTATTGTGGTTGTTTGTGTATGTGTTATAGCTCCCTGATAGACTATAAGGTCCTTGAAGGCAGGCCCCTAGATAGAGATATCTAATCTCCTTCAGCATCTAGCCGCTAGTACCACTCAGCACCTAGGCCAATCCTTCACTCACAAGAGGAAGTTAATGAATGGATGTTGAAATAAATTAATACAAATAACTTCCGACTCCCTGGGGGGAGGGGGCATCGCTAAATAAATAAATCACTCTCCACAAACTCCCAGGCCACTTGTGAACAGCCATATACTCACATCTCAATTAGCTACAGTAATAAAGTAGAGCTGTGGCATTACTAATTAAAAGCTACCAATGCACTGTTCCCTTGTATTAATCCAAAGGTGAAGCTCTGGCCTGAGACCAAGCTGAACACATGGAACTTTCAGAAATTACCTCCTGAGGGCTCTTCTGTCCGGCACTTGGGAATTTTTTGGTCCTATAAAACTTTCCCCAGCATCCTGAATTGGCCTGATAGTACTCAGGACAGGAGAAGGGGAAGCAGGGATTCCTGAAAATCCCACCAGGTGTGAGAAGAGAAGTAGCATTAGGACCAGTCAACAACTCATCATTGAGTACCGGCACTCGATCCATTCAAGAGAGTAGGATGCCCTTTCACTGCCCTCAAAGAGCTTAGGAAGAAAGCTGGCCTATGGAAAGCAATGAACAGTAAAGGACAAACTGCCGTATTGCTTCTAAGTGTTGTCCGGGTTCAGGAAGGGGAGTGAAGTGTGGGTCTAGAGTCATTGGGGAAATCTTCAGCGAGGAGATGGGGCTTGAGCTGGGCCTGAGATTATTAGCAAAAGAGGATGAGACAACATCTTTGTCAGCTGGGACTGAGTATTGCAGAGCTAGGGGACAAGAGTGTGTTGGTAAGAAGTCGGAAATGAGGTTAGAATCACAGAGATAGAAATAGACTGAAGAGCTCACCTCATCCAGTTTCCTTGGGGGAAAAAAAAAGATTAATGCGAAAACTAAGGCCTAAAGAGGTTAGCTGAGGCTAGAACCCAGGCTTCCTGACTCCTGAGTTAGGTTAATCAGGTAGATTATGGAGTGGTTTGGCCTTTATGCAGTGGATTTTTGAAACTTAATGGCATAACTAACTTCAGTTATAATGTAACATATAATATAATCCAATATGACAGACCTTTAAATGTTATTTTATATGTTACTATATATGTGTATAATTATTATATATATGACAGCCCTTTAAATATGTCATTGTATGTTACTATATATGTGTATAATGATATATAATATGTGATACATGCTATTATATTGTATATATGTTATATCATACATTATAACCAATCTCTAAGGCCTCCTTTTTCTCTTCTCCTCCTCTAATATGATCCATCTTCATGCAATTTCATAACCAAAACAAAAAAAAAACAGTGATTCAAGAAGATCAGTACAGACATTGGTATGCAGTGGGTAGGAGAGAACCTTAGGATGAGGAGAAGTGGGTACGGTGTTCTAATCAATCAGATATGAGATGAACTAGAATCTTCTGGGACTCCATTGGGTAGAAACAAGAAGGAATTCCTGGACTTAACTGGATAATAGGAGGCCGGGTTTCCTCAATACAAAAATAGTGCAGTTTTAGGCCATTAAAGCTTATCTTTAACATCACTGTCATAGAATCATAATATTGTTACTGTCATTAAAGATAAGCTTCAATAGCTTAACAAGTGCATTAAGGCTTTTGGGACACCCTGTATAACTATTCATTATGCTGGTATTTTTTGCTGCTGTTTGCATTTGGCCTATTAAAATGTAAAATCCCACAAATGCAGAAACTGTCTCTTTCATCTTAGGGCTCCGCACAGAGTCTTTTGAACATCATAGACTTAAATCAGTCAATGCTGCTGACAGTCTGCTCCTAGGGTCTCGAAAACCACTCCTCATAGCTTCTGGATGTTTTTTAAGACAACATTTCTTCCTGCCTAAGGGGATTCTCTGGTTTGGTTTTCTCCTAGGTAAATCGATTTAGTAAAGTGGAAGATAGAGCAATTTTTGTCACAGATCGCCACCTGTACAAGATGGACCCCACCAAACAGTATAAAGTGATGAAAACCATCCCCCTCTATAATGTAAGTACCAACTACTGACCAGTCCCTGTGGTTCTTGTGCATCTCTGATCTTACTGCCTTGTCCAGTGACATGAATATCATAGTGCTCCTCTTGTCTGATTTTGTGTTAAAATTGGAAGTTGTAGGGAGAGGAGGTGAAGTGAGGATGTCATAGGGAGGCCACATAACACAGTTGCCATTACAAGATTCCCACAGTTCACTAGAGTCCTTTCCATTGGGTACCTATTCACATTCATGCTTGTTAGTTATCACTAAAGCCTCAATATGACAATTTTGTATCTTGGGAATACATAGCTCATTGGTCAATGTCTAATTAGAGAAGTAAGTTACTTTTGTGTTTCCCTGTCTGCCTTTCATTATTCAGTTTATTTTAACTGTCGTCTTCCCTGATATCTTGTTATATAAATAGAGACTCTGTTTTTGAAGCTTCCATTCATTTTGGTAAATAATTTATAAGAATAACACTAATGGGTGACATTAGCATAGTGTTTTGAGGTTTCCAGAATGCTAGCCATGCACAATTATCTCAGCTGAGCCTCACGGCAGCTCTAGGTGGTAGAGACTATAAAGATTTGTAATCATCATTATATAAATGAGAAATCTGGGTTTCAGAGAAGTTGTGATCTGTTTGGGGTCATATACAGCTCAGTGTCACAGTTGTGACTTGAACCCACATATTCCTGACTCCATCAAGCCCAGCACTCCTTCATGATGGTACAGTGTTGAGGCAGTAATTTAGTACATTGGGAAAAGCCCTGGATTTGGAGAAGAGGCTCTGAAGTAGGATGGTTGTGGTGTGAGTGTATAGAAGGGCACAGATGTGAGAGGTGGAGAGCAACTAGAATCCTCTGGATTTGACAACAGATTGGATACCTGGGGTGAGTGAGAGTGAAGAATCAAATACGGTGCCGAAGTTTCCCTGGGTGCTGGAAGAAAGGTGATGCCCTCTATAGAAACAGGGAAGTTTGGAGGGAGAGGTGGGTTTAGGGGGAAAGATAACAAGTTCAGTTTGTGGCATATTGAGTTTGAGATGCCAAAGAGACATCCAGGTGGAATGGTCAGCCGGCACTGGAGATTACAGGACTGGAGCTCAGAAGAGAGGTGAGGGCTGTGTATATAAACTTGGAGGTCATTTGCATAGAGATGGTAGTGGAACTCAGTGGAGTTGCCGAGATCACCAAGAAAGAGAAATCATAGAGAGAAAAGAGATAACCAACCCCTTACTCTTTCCACCACACTCTGGATGCTCCTAATCTTTAGGAAGAGGTTTTATTTTGAATGTTAAAAAGTTTCATAACTAACACAATAAATATGCAAAAATAAGTTGAATTAAAGTCAATAAGCATTTTTAATATACCTACTATGTACTCAGCCCTGGAGATACAAAGATGGAAACCCAACAGCCCTTGGCCTCAAGGAGCACATGGCATCCTTAAACACATGTTTAAGAGTTTATTAACTTTAACTCAAACCCTCAAATGGGTCTATGATCTCGTCAGTGTGACTTATGCCATTCCCATCCCTGGCCGCCCATCCTGGGCAAGTGTTGTATGTGTGACTTCCTGCAAGCCACCAATGTCCTGGGGACTTGGCTCCAAGTCTCCTGTGACATATATCCTCTCCATGAGGATGCCAGTGGGACACTTGGGCTATCTACCAATTTTGGGGAAGGCAGGAATGACACAATCGGGGAGAGGAACAAGAATTTATTAAGTACCTACTATGTGCCAACACTTTACAAGTGTTATCTCATTCGATCTTCACAACTGCCCTTTGAAGTAGGTGTTATTATTATCCCTATTTTACAGGTGAGGATATGAAAGTCAAGTGACTTGCCCAGGGTCACACTGCTAGTAAGTGTAAGGTTAGATTTGAATTCAGGTCTTCCTGACTCCAGGCCCGGGGCTCTATCCACTACACCATCTAGCTGCCTAAGAGAACAGAGAAGGGAAAGGCACTGGAGCAGACCAAATTATACATAGAGGAGATAACATGCTGAAGACAAAACAATTGTGAGGGTGATAGGGGCTTCCTTCTCCACGTGTCTGAAAGTCAAGAAGACTCATTGAAGGCAGCATTTTGTTTTGCAGAATCAAAGGTTTTGTTTGCTCTCCAACAGACAACAAACACAATACAAAACTGATGCACCGTCTTTCAGTGCAGCTGCATGATAGTAAAGATGTGGTCTGGTGTGTGTGTCTGTGTGTGTGAGACTTACTGTCATTTTTTTAAAAAAATTAAAAATAGTAACAAAGGATCATGCAGTGGGAGTCTGAGCAGTTTGTAACTCATTACAAACCAGGGATTAAAAAGAAATGGTGGAAAGGATGGCATCAAAGAAGTGTTTCAGGGGACAAGCTGAGGACTGATCATATGGAGAGAACAAGGGATTAGTAGCCTGCTTCCTTTGCGTCCTTTGGATGTGAGCAGAGCTCAAGGATGGCTCCCATCTGTAGGCCTGGACGCAGACTTCTGGGAAGCCATGGACCAGAGTGACACAGGGTAAGCAGGCTTGGACGGGTCATGATCTGCTTTATGCAAGGGGATTGTCCTGTCTTGTGATTTCATTTGGTGTGGAGGGTTCCTAGTGAGGAAATTTCTCTCTACCTGGGTGGATCACCACCTTCTTATACTACAGGGGACAGGTAGGTGGCGCCATAGTGCATAGACCACTGGGCCTGGAATCATCTTCCTGAGTTCAAATCTGGCCTCAGACACTTAATAACTGTCCGGCCCTGGGCAAGTCACTTAACCCAGTTTGCCTTGGTTTCCTCATCTGTAAAATGAGCTGGAGAAAGAAATGGCAAACCACTCCAGTATCTTTGCCAAGAACATCCCACATGGGGTCACAAAGAGCCGGACACAACTGAAATCACTGAATAGTAGCAAACAGCAAAGATAGTATAAGGCAGCTAAGATGAGCACTGGATCTACCATCAAGACAGCCCAAGTTCAGATATGACGGCAGACACTTAAACTAGCTGTGTGTCCCTGGGCAAGTGACTTAATCTTTGTCTGGCTCAATGTCCTTATCTGCAAAATGGGCATAATAAAAGCACCTACTTTCCCAGGTTGTTATAAGGATCAAATGAAGTAATATTTGGAAAACACTTGGTACGATGCCCAGAACATAGTAGGTGTTTATTAAAATGCTGTCCCCTCTCCCCCACTTATGGTTTTAGGGAGCTGCCTGGGCACTGAGAGATTCAATGACTTGTCCAAGATTATACAATCAGTATGTGTCAGTGATAGGGCTTATACCTAGGTCTTCCTGATATCAAGTCCAACTAGCTGTTAAGCCACACTACCCACATCAACCCAGTTCAGAGATCCATTTGACTGTTTGGAGTAAAAGTATTTTTATAGATATGGTCATTTAAAAATTTTAACTATATCTTCCAGTCACAGTCCTAGTAAGGGGTTCACTGAGCCACAGGGTATGAACAGGCGGCAGCTCTAATTTTATATGCTCAGAACACTTCCCAAAAGAGTCACGCCAGTTCATTCAGAGTTCCACCAGAAAACAGGGCTCCTTTACATTTCCACCTTTACTGAGTCTTACCGTTTTTCACTGCTGTTGCCATTTTAGCGAGAGTGTGACTGCTGCATCTTAGCGATGTTTTCATCACATTGCTCCGGGGCGTTTGAACAGCGTTTCAGGTGGTCATTGGTCATGTGGTTCTTCCTGTGACCTTGGACGAAGAGCCAGCTCCAAGAAAGGAAGAACAGAAACCTTGCGCTTTGCTGCAGAATTTTAGTTCAGTTACTGATTTTTCCATTGGTAACATTAGACACCTTTGCTTTGTCTACATCTTTGACATTTATGGAGCGGCTGTAGGAATGTTTTCTACGACTCACATTGTTCTGGGCTGGCGTAAATCTCATAGTTGTCCAAAAAGACTTTGTCAGTGGAATGTTGAGTAGTTTCTTCTTTTGAGTTCAGATTGATTTTCTTAGCAAAGATACATATTCAAAGTAAAACTTTAAAAAAAACTGTACTTAAAGCTAGTGCTTCTTTTTTTTTCCTTTGTGCTTTAGAGAAAAGTACAAAATTCAGATTGATATCAAATCCAATTAGAAGCCTATTTTTGCTTAATTATGCAGTGTGGGGTTCTTACATTTCTCCTGTAGATCCCCACTGACAGTGAGAAGCATTGTGGGATAGTGTAAGAAGCTCTGCAGTGAGGGGTCTGATGTTCACCTGTGTGTCCTTGGAAAAGTCACCTATGGCTTCTTGGCCTTGGATTCTTCATATATAAAATAAAGGACTCAGCCTAATTCAGGGGTTGTTAACCTGTGGTCCATGAGCTCGTTTTTTCAAATTATTATTATTGTTATTTTGGTAATCATATTTCAAATAAATTGGTTTTCTTTGTAAACCTACATATTTTGCTTTATGCATTTACCAACATCATTCTAAGAATGGATCCATAAGTTTCACAAGACTTCCAAAGGCATCCAGTACACAAAAAAGGTAAAGAACCCCTGGCCCACAAGAATCTCTAAGGCCCCTTCAGCTTCAAATCTTCTGAAAATCTTGAATATGTCTCTTTATATCTCCACACTTCACCATCTTCATTAGAACAATGAGAATACCAGTTTCCCACCTTGCCTACCTCGGGACTGTTATCAGGATCCGGGGGAGACACTAATATATGTGGGGGGAAGTACTTTGAAAACTGTACAAATGTACAGTGTAGGTGATAACATTCCACCTACTCCTGTTCCCTCTACTCATTCTTTGCAGCAAAATGGTTAGGTAGATAGTAATCATTTGTGTAGACTATTTAGCCCTGTCCTACATCTCCTTGAAAATGAATCTGTCCCCTATTTCCTTTACCTGAGAAATAGAACTTCGTCCCAGTCTTCATTTCTTATTCCACATCCTGAAGCATGAAAGTCAAGGCTTAAGAGGAGAATAAAGCAAGTATTGCTGCAGAAGCACTTACTCATATAAAATGGTGCATGCATGTTTGTCCCCAGTAGGTTATCCACAGTTG